TGGTTATTCGTGGGGAAGCCATTTAGGGAAAGCTGGCTGGGGTAGAAAACTGCCCTTTTGGGCGTCTTTGGGGCCCACCTTCTGTGCCTCACTATGGCTACATCCAGGTGTCCAGCACCAGCCCAAGGATAAGCAGGTGCCTTGGTTAATATTTATCAAACCAAGTTCAATTAATGCTCCGGTATCCAGGCCTCCTTCCCCAACTGGTGTGAGACCTACTTGCCATGGGAGGCCCAGGTGACCTGATGTAGACAGGGGACTCTGGGTCGCCCCTCAAGACCCTTTCCTCTGCTGATTTGCGTATTCCCATTTTTAAGATGTGGAAAGTAAATGAATTGCCCGCTCTGGGATTGGAAACTCCCACGCTGCTGCTTTTAACTGGCAAGAGCACTGCCTCCCAGTGTCACATTAGGAGGGGACCAACACTGTGCCACCCCAATCACAGTAGCTGCAGGATGTAGAGCTGTGCCCTGGAACACACAGGACTGACTGGGGCCCATCTCCTGTGTTTAGATGTTGTGCACCTCAGGGCGAAACAGGCCAGAAGGCGTGAGGCTGTGGGGCCCCTGATGGAGGGGCTGGCCACCACTCTGACTGGCACAGCAAGAGCCAACCTGATCTGTGACTGTCACGGGCAGCGGAGTGTTGGCCCTGTCTGGTATTAATGGCGGAACAGATGGTGGACTTGACCTGGTTGGCCTTCTAGAACGTCTTCCCTCCTGTTGCCTAGATAACGGCCCAGGGTGACTGACCGTCCCCAGTTACCTGAGTTTCCTGAAGCTTTGGACTTTCAACAGAAAGTCCAGCAAACCCGAGACAGACACCCTGAGCCTGGGCCATGCAGGGCCTTATCAGGGACCCCCAGCAGCTGCCAGGAGGGTGGCCTGTTCACCCACTCCCTAAAGCTAAGTTCAAGGGGTGAATGAGGTTATGGTGCAGATACTATGTCCCCCAAAAAGTTCATGCCACAGTGCAGGAATGTTCAGAGGTGAAATGGTTAGAACTGTAACCTAATCAGGGGACTGATGGTTGGTTCTGATGGATTGTCTGAATGGATCGTTGGGTGGTGACTGTAGGCAGGTGGGTGTGGCTGGAGGGTGTGGGTCACTGGGTGCCCTTGGGGGTTGGGTTTTGTCCCTGGCTTCTCACCTGCTCTGCTTCCAGGTGGCCTCTCCACACTCCGTCAAGTTCTGCCTCAGCTCAGCCCCAGAGCAGCAGCCACGGATCATAAACTAAACCTCTGAAACTGAGCCCCAGATAAAATTTTTCTCCTCTAAGTATCCTCTCCAAAATTTATGTCCACCTAGAACCTCAGAATATGAACTTTTTTGGGGAAAAATAAGTGTTATCCTGGGTGTAATTAGTTACATTAAATTGAGGTCATAGCCAGATGCGGCGGCACACACCTGTAATCTCAGCAGCTCAGGAGGCTGAGGCAGGAGGATCACAAGTTCAAAGCCAGACTAGCAACTTAGTGAGAACTGTTTCTAAATAAAATACACAAAGGGCTGGGGATGTGGCTCTGTGGGGTCAATACCTGGAATTAAAAAAACATGAAGTCGTAAGCTGGGCGTGGTGTTTGTGCCTGTCATTCCCAGCTACTCCAGAGACTGAGGCAGGAGGATCACAAGTCTGAGGCCAGCCTGGGCAACTTAGTGAGACCCTGTCCAAAAATAAAAAGGACCGACAGTGTCACACAGTGGTTAAGTGTCCCTGGGTTCAATCCCCAGTACCAAAAATAAATATGAATAAAATGAAATTCCAGTGTCCTGAATCCAACGATGGCTGTTCTTAAAAGAAGACACATAGAGGGGTGGGTGGGTGCAGCCACAATCCCAAGGCTGCCTGGACCCCAGGAGCTGGAGGTCAGGAGGGAGCTCCCTGGGAGGGGGAAGGTGGCCCTGTGGAAGCTTGTGCTGGTGGCCTGCCATTGCCAGCCAAGAGGGAAGGCTGAGCAGGTCACTGCTGCTGGCACCTGGGCATTCAGCGGGCCCCAGCTACAGAGGGCTTTCCCGTCTCAAATGGCCAGGGACCCAGTCTCGCCACCCCCCACGCAGACGTCCTCTGAGAGGATGAGCAGACCTGGTCAGCACCTCACGGGTCTGGATCAGGTTGGGAGCAGTGGACGGCAGGAGTAAGTGACTCACGCCCAAGGTTGACACTCAGGACATGGTGTTTTCCTGAAGCCGCTCCAGGGACAAAGGGCCGAGTGCACTCCCAGAAGGGCAAAAAGAGGCAGGGAGCCTCTGCCCTTGTCGTCACCCTTCGCCAGGTGCCCAGGCCTCAGCCATGTCCACTCAAAGACAGAGCAGGCCTGGCCTGCCAGATGGACCTGCTCACAGGAAGCCATCCAAAGGGGCTGGCCATGCCCAGGAGGAGGAAGCAGAGTCCCTGGCTGACCTGAACTGGCGTCCCCGACCCTCCAGCCCACTGGATACCAGTTCTGAGCTCCCCTCGGTGTGCCCACTCCAGCTGTTCCCCGCTCCTTGGCCATGCAAGCCACAGTCCTGGTGGGCTGAGCACCGGGCTGGAGGCAGCAGGCACCCCCTGGGACGAGGCTGCCGGCCCAGCTCCAGTGTCTGGAGGGCACCCGAGAGGAGCAGGCCTGCTCGTCCACCCCGCACACCACCCCACGTGAGGCACGCCCTCAAGAGCTGGGCCCAGGAGCCGGGCGGGGGCCACTTGGCCTGCCTTTCCTGTAGGCAGGGCATCCAGAAGACAGGTGCCTCGCTGTGCCCTCTGGCTAAATGCATGTGTGTCTGGTGTGGCCTGGGGCCCAAGGTCCATGTGCTTCCAGGTGGTCCTGGGACTACTCTCTCCACACGGGTTCCCACCATGGTGCCTGACCACACTCCCACACGGGGCTGCCTGATCTTGGCCTTGAACTTCCCTCGTGGTCACCCTGGGCTGGGGTTTTGTCACGGCAGCACAGAGCTGGCCGCCGGTGTGCCCTCAGCCTGTGCGGGCGAGCTGGTGGTCTGGTGAACCCGTGTGAGATGGACTGTGCTGGGTGAAGCCTCGCCCGGCTCAGGCACAGGCTGCTTCCCGGAGCAGCGGTGTCCTGGCTGATGCCGGAGCCCGCTGGGAGGTGGCTTTTTCTGGTGATGTGTGCTTGGCTGTTGCCCCGGTGACCTGGCACAGTGGTGCTGAGGAATCCGAAAAGTGACGAGGTCTCCCTGTGTCTCCTGTCACTGAGGCCAGCTGTGGAGGGAAGCCCACAGTGGACAAGGTGCTCAGAACACAGGGAAGATGACGGGCCTGTTCCCCAGGTGTCTCCTGCCCCGACCCACCCCGAGGCCAGCTCTGTGTGAGCCTGGTGGTGCTGACCTGGCACCTAGGCCCAGGCAAGAGATGGCTACAGGTCACCAGCAAGGGGACATGAAGGAAAAGTCAGTCCTTCAAATCCGTGGTGGCCACAGACTCTGCCTCTCCTCCCATCAAAGACACTGTTTCTGTGCTGGAGACAGCGTTCCATCCCCAGCACGGGACAAAAGACGACGGGGGCCAAGCGCTGGGTGGTGGCTCAGCAGTAGTGCGCTCACCCAGCACGTGCGAGGCCCTGGGTTCCATCCTCAGCACCACATAAAGTTAAGAAAATAAAGGTGTTGTGTCCACCTACAACTGGAAATAAGTAAATAAAAAGACCAGCAATGCACGCATGTGCTGCTGTCTCTGGACACACAATGGCCCGTGCCACCCTGGGACCTTGCCAGCAAGAGGCCGGCACCCAATGGTGGGCACCCAATGTGGGCCCTTCGCTGGGGGCCTCCAGAACCATGAGCCGAAATAAGCCTCCTTCCTTTGAAGCTTGTGCAGTCTGTGCTGCTCAGCAACCAGCAGCAGAGGCAGGCTGACCAGGCTGCGGGCAGCGCGGCAGAGTGCCCACCTGCCCTGTTCCAGGCCCTGGGTGCCAGGAAGGAAGGAAGAGAGGGAGGGAGGGAGGGAGGCAGGGAGGGAGAAGGCCCTCAGCATGGAAGGACCAAGCTCCCGGGGCCAAGGGGAGCACAGGGTGGGCACAGACTGCAGACGGGGGCCCACCATAGTTCCCAGGGCCAGGCCCTTCCACGGACACAACTGGAAGCCAGAAGGCAGGGCGTTGTCCACACAGGCACCTGTGCACGGGGATGTACAGAGAGGGACCAGGACCAGTACAACAGGACTGTCACCTGGCCTGAGGAGTCCTACCAGGGCAGTGGCCACCAGGGATCCCCAGGGCAGCCAGGCTCTTGTCCTTCCATCATGGTTTCCTCATTCTCTTGACCATCCTGGGACCCAAAGGGACAGGGCCCTCAGAGGGAAGCCTGTGTCCTGCCTGGGTTCTCGGTCCACAGTGGGACCCCCAGTGACCCCACTTCCATTGTTCCGTCTGCCAAGGCTATCTGGCAGGGGCTGGCAGCCAGCCATCTGGAGTCTCGCAGGAAGATGGGCAGAGGATGCTCGGGAATGACTGGAGAACAACCATCTCAGGGAGTGTGATGGGGGCTTCGTGGGGCTCTGGTCTGTGGTCGGGATGCGCTCCAGAGGGGCCGGGGAGGCATGGCCAGGGCAGTTTGGGCCACGTGCTGGGGCAAGCTCTGAGGAGCCCAAGGTGCCCCTAGTACCAAGTGGCGGGGCAACGGCGCAGGGGAAATGGGTGGGAGGACAGGCAGGAGGTCTGGGTGTCAGGCGGAGGCTGGGAGGGGCCCGCCTGTGTCCTCAGTGGCACCCATAACTCCTGACACAGGCACACACACGCGAAGATGCCTCCCAAACAAAACACGCTGAGCACAGAGAGGCGGCAGCTCGAGGCCGTGGAGGGACGGCGAGGCCCTGCACCCTGGAGGCTCAGCTCTGCTGTCAGGCAGAACGCCCGTCAGGGAAGTGGGCATGGTAGAGCCACCTTGAGGACTGGACACAGGCCAGGCTCACGCTGGCCACATGCTCTGGGACCCATTGGTGGACAGGAGACCGAGGGACACACACACATACGTGTCACACACCACAAACAGTCCCTTGCTCGGTCGGATGCAAAAAAAGGATTTATTTCCAGAATATTTCCACCTAACAAAAAACACCAGTCTTGAGGGTGCAGGGCTGGCGGGTGGGGCAGGTGCTACTGGCAGTTCGAGGCTCTTCCCCATGGTGGCTGCACTGCTTTGCCACCCAGGGAGACAGTCACAGGCGGGGCAGGCTTCTGCGGGCAAGAGGCTGGCCGGGGCCGTGGGGCTCTGGGGACCCTGGGGGCCCTGGGCCTGCATGGCACCAGGCTGCCTTCCCCTCTGCTCTGGGGTGGAGAACGTGGGTGCCTGGCCTGAGTGGTCCTAGCGAGAGCCGGTGATCCCCAGTGTGCTGGGAAGGGCCTGCCCTGCAAGGGGTGGCAGCTGGGCACCATGAAGGTTTGGCCAGCAGCACAGAAATGCCACCAAAGGGAAGATTTTATGCCCAGATGTCACCAAAGGGGACACAGACATGTCCGTGAGACACTTTGGCCCTTTTTGTTTAATAATTCTGTAGCTGTGGGTAGACACGATACCTTTATTATATCGATTCTTTTAACGTGAACTGAGGATGGAACCAGGGCCTCCTGTGCTCGGCGCTGCTCCACCACTGAGCCCAGCCCAGGGTGCACCCAGCTCCTCCAAGGACACAGTGCCCCGGAGGGCAGGAGTGGAGGGACAAGTCCTCTGTAAGGCACAGCTTGGCCCTGGGGGGCCATCCCGGGGCTCCGCCTCTGCCTGCCCGCGGTCCCTCAGGGTCCTCTGGGCTCCTGAGCAGGAGGCAGGGCCCCCTGCGTGCCCTGCTCTGGGAGACCACACCCTGGGACGCAGGTGCAAGCTGGGCTAGCCCAGGAGGGGAAGGACTGCCACAGCCACAGTGCAGCTCCAGAGGCCCTGTCCGGCAAGACGCACGGGGAGGACCGCTGGATGGGTGGACGGGCAGTGCAGGTCACTGGGGAGGTGGGTTCTGCCTCTGGCCATCCCTGTGGGCTGGTCCCATGAGTCACTGGCTGCAGGAGAGCAGAGACGTAGGAGGATGACAAAGACACAGAAGGCCGAACGTGCGTGCACCAAACCTCTGCCACCCGCAGGGGACCTGGACCCTGCAAGGCCTCTTCCTGGTTGGCACCAAAGATGCCACAAGCAGCCAAGAGTGACGACACTGTGTCAGCAACTCTGGATGGATGGTGGGCAACAGCCTGCTGCCACTGTCCCGCTGGGGCCCCTCAGCTGGGCCCTCTGTGACCTGGAGACAGAGGCTGTGTCTGCCACAGTGGGTGCTGAGTGGCCACGTGTTCTCAGGAACAAGAGACGCCCTGCTGGACAGCAGAAGCCAGAGAGCCGCCAGGCAGGGCTAGCCAGGGGCCCTGCTGTTGGGGCAAGAGGAACATGGGGTCCACAGGCCCTGGCTGGGGAGGGCCATGGGGACCCGAGGGCAACAGGAGTGGGAGTGGCAGAGAAGGCGGGCGGCAGCTTGGCCAGTGGCTCCCTCTAAGGCCACTGGCTGCCACTGGCCGGGTAGTTGGGCACGGTGGGGTACTCCGGCAGGCTGTTCCCCGAGAAGTTGTTGTACTGGGCCTCCCGGGAAGGGGGGTTCCGCCAGGCACCGGTGCTCCACTCCGTCTGTGCCTTCTGGAAGTTTCCACCAGTCCCACGGTAGATTCTGTGCACCTACAGGGTCAGAGGAACCAGGCAGGAGCCAGTGGGTCTGTGCCCGCGCAGGGACTGCCCGTGCCAGGCAGGCGTCTTCTTCCTGTGGGCGTCTGCAAACAGCCTGGGAACACAGCCACCTGGCTCCTTCACCACGTCCCTGACCACTGGGACCCCAGAGCGATGGTCAGCACAGGCCTGCAGGGGGCTGCCCTCGGCCCACAGGTGCACTCGGCCTCAGCAGCACCCCAGCCGCCACGCAGGAGGAGTGCATGCTTTACCCCAGGGAGGGGGATGAGGCCCGAGTGGACGCCAGTGGACAGGGCAGCTCTGCCGACTGCCCACCTGCACAACGCCAGGAAGAGGGCTGCGGGAGCCGGCACAGGAAGGGGTCCTCAGGCGGTCATGGGTGGGGCCAGGCTGGGGAGGCAGCCCCCACTGCTGGAGTCAAGGAGGCCGTGCTTACGTTTTATTTTGGTGCTGGGGACAGAACTGGGGCCTGGTGCATGCTCGACATCCACCTCTCTACCTGGCCCTGCCCTCATGGGGCTGGCCAGCGGCCTGATTACACTCAGTGGAGACTGGAGGGGCAGGGCTGCTCTGCAAGGCAGGGCTGGGGCCTCCGTCGAGCGCTGGGCACCCAGCCCCCGCCTGGTGCAAGCCCCTCACCTTCAGCCTCGCCCCACGGGCAGGTCTTGGCAGGGGCAGGTGTGTGCTGGTGAAGCCTGGCACTCGTGAACCCCCGTCCACATCAGGCCACAGACCTCCACTGGGCTCTGGGCACGGCTGCGCCCCCTCCAGGACCCAGGTCTCCCCACTGCACAGGGCTGCCCGCCTCCCGAGATGGTGGTGGTCTCAGTAAGTGAAAAACAGCTTCTCCATCTTGACGACCTGCAGCTGGGCCTGGGGGGCTGTCTGTCCGTCTGTGCGCCTGTCTCAGGACCCAGAGCCTGCCTGCAGCCTGAGGCCGAGCTCAGGAGGGGCTATGGGCTGGCCGGGCGTCTGGGGACCTGGCCCTGGGACCTCCACCCCCCTGACAGGAGGGGCTCCTGGGCCTGAGCCGTGGGGCCAACAGTGTGGCTTCCGCTCAGCCCCTGGGCGCCTCTGGATCTGGGATCTCAGCACGCGCCAGGCAGAGGGCCGCGTGTCCCCCCGGACCCCAGGCACTGGGTCTCTGAGCTCCCAGTGACTTTCCACAGGTGTGTGGTGGGGACCAAGTGGGAGGAGACTGGAGGCCCTGCCTGGTTTCCCCCGACTTTCCCAACTTTAGTGACGGGAGGGAGGGGCAAGGGCTGCACATCCCAGGCCCCAAGGACTCACCTTCATGATGGCCACTGCCATCATGGCGGCAGACAGGGAGAACATGATGGCTGAAAGCAGCATGACCACAGCAGCCCCAATGCTGGTCTGAAAGAAGTTGATCGCTGCCAGCCAGCCACTGCAGGGGAGAGTGAGCTGCAGCATGCATGCCGGGCCAGGGCCTGCTGTCCTTCACATACAAAGAGCTCTGACTAACCAATAAGAAATGGTGACTGGAAGACTGGGCATTCGAGGACTACTAGGTGACTGACTACCTGAGGGGCACAGGCCAGGGGTCCTTTTCCTGCACCACAATGGCAGCTCCAAGTGCAGGGGAGAAGTGAGAGTGCTCCCTGTCAGCTGCCCTAGTGGAGGGCCAAGGAGTACTATCGAGAAAGACTTCAGTGCTCCTTCCTTCCTGCTCCTGCTCTACTCCTTTTTACTCCCTTTTTTTTTTTTAACTTTTTTATATTAATCAAATGATACAAAATCACCATCACCTGTAAAAGCCCAGCACGAGCTGGTCCTCTGACCCTGAGGGAAGCCTCCTCGTCCCTCCTCCCCCTGTGTTCCCTCCCTCCCCTCCCACCCTCTCCCTGGACAGTCTTGGAGGACGGTGGGCACAGCTGGAGGGAGAAGGGACGACCCGGCCAGTCTGGATGAAGAGAGGCGGGCTCGGCCCTCGGAGGCCCTTTCTAGTGCAGTACTCGTCTGTGTCCACTCCACAGACAGCTCCGCTAGCCCTGTACCCCTCTCCTTCCAGCGTCCCTGCATGTCCTTCCTGTCCCACCTGGGCCAGGGCTTCCCCAGTGGGCCTCTGTGGGCACCGAGAAGGGAGCCTGCAGAGACCTGGGAGCCAGGAGCCCACCTTGCAGAGGAGGAAGGGCACGTCGGGGATGGGGGTGGCCACAGGTGGAGCCAGGGCCCCGTGGCCAGGCCCCTGCTCCCCGTGCACTGTGCCGCCCAGGCCTGCCCGGCGGTGCCCACCCGCTCAGGCACCAGCAGCTTACCACGCGCCCCATCCTGAGAAGCCGACAGCCTGGAGGACAGTCAGGACAAACTGGGCTCCGAAGAGGAAGAAGAAGGCCATGAAGTTAAAGGAGCTGTCGGCTCTGGAGGGGACAGAAGAGGCGACCGTGACTGGGCCCGGCACTCCCACCGGGAAGGTGAGGCCAGCAGGGCGGGCGCAGGGGCTTCCGAGTACTGGGACACTGGGCAGCTCACGGACTTCCATGCATCACTACATGGGCTCCACCTGGGCGCTGACCACAAGGCCTAAACGCTCCGTGGAAGGGCACTGCACCGGCCACACCACCCTGACCGCCAATCTCCTCTGAGGGGCACCGCAGCCCTGGGTCTTTGCTAGGAAGAGCCAGGTAAGCCCTCCGCGCCCTGCACAAGCTGCCGCACTCCGCGCAGTGCGGGGGACCCTGCGCAGCCCGGGCTGTGTCCAGTGAGGCAGAAGGGAGGGCATCTGGGGAGGGCAGGGAGGCTCCGCGTCCCCTCCTGCTCCCAGCTGTGCTCCTGCGGTCCCCGCAGCCCTGGGGGTCAGCCCGGCGATGAGCGCTGTCCTGTCTTGTTCAAGCCCTGAGTCTAAGGCCGAGGGAACCCAGGAGCAAGCATGACACGTGCCCAAGTCACTGCGGGCCTGCTGAGGGCAGCGTCTACAGCAGCGACACACCTAGGCATCGAAGGAGGCAGCCCCAGGTCCACCCACAGAAGGATGAACCCCGACATGCTCCTTGCACATCTGCAGCACGCTCAGACCCGAGGACCTAGTGCTCAGGGACAGCCAGACACACCAGACCACACGTGTGACCCCGTGACAGGAGAGGCCAGGACAGGGGAGTCCAGAGATGAGACGTGGACCTGCAGGAGCAGGGCTGCGAGGGCTGGGGCTTGCTCTGGAGGTACCCGGTGGGCATCTGCAGTGTCCAGCAACACACTAGAGGCCACGCAGGTGGTGCAAGGAGCACCGGGGTCCTCAGTTGTGAGTCGGCAACAGCTGGACGTGGCCTGCGGGCTGCAGCCTGCCAGCCCCGACACCGCGGCCTGTCCACCTGAAGAAGCCAGGCACGGCGGCCAGGCCGTCATCCCAGTAACTGGGGAGGCTGAGGCAGGAGGATTGCAAGTTCAAAGCCGGCCTCAGGAACTTAGTGAGGCCCTCTCTCCAGATAAAAAAAAAAAAAAGACAAAAGGGGCTACAGCTGTGGCTCAGAGATGGAGCGGCTGCCTGGCCCGTGCGGGCACCGGGCGCGGCCCTCGGCACCCACAAAAATAAATAAAATGAAGGCATCGTGTCCGTCTAAACTAAGAAAAAACTAAAAAAAAAAGGCAGGGAGTGACTCAGTGGTAAGCTGTCCCTGGGGTCCAACCTCAGGCCACGCTAGATGGGAGACGAGCCCAGGCTCCCTCTGCATGAGGGACAGCAAGGGTGACCAGGACACTCCATGGGCATCTGAGCCACCCACCCTTCAGCGCAGTCAGACACAGCACCAGAGGTGTCCAGAGACCCCGAGAGGGGACAGCCCGGCAAGCCTGGCACCTACCGGAAGGCCTTGTAGGCCGGCCGGAACCAGCACACGTAGCTGCAGGGGCTGAAGAGCAGCAGCCAGACCAGCGCCAGGCCGAAGTTGGCGCCTGCGCCTCCGCCGATCCACCAGGCCAGGCAGGCGACGAGGTTCACCACCAGGGTGGCGCAGTAGACTGTGGGGAGGGAGGCCGGCTGGGGTGCAGAAGGCCCGCCACTGAGGACCCCGCCAGCCTGGGCTGTCCAGTCCCCCGCTGCACCACCCTACCTGGGCAACCCAGGACACTGGGCCAGGCCCGGCCCAGGGAGTAGGCCCTGTTAACCACAGGGGCCACCAGGGCCCTGAGACTGGCCGGGTGGACAAAGGGCTTCTGCCAGGCTGCTGTCCTGCAAGTCACTCACTCCCCGGGCCAAGCCGGGCTCTGCCCACCACAGTCACGGGGAAGGCATGCAGCAGGCCCCCGCCTCCTGGCCCCCCCCCCCGAGCCCCCACGACCTGCCGCCCGCTGCCCGTGGGGCCCAGGGCTCACACATCCACAGCCGGAAGATCCTCTTCACTAGAACCTGGTGCTCGGCGGGGATCTCGCTGGCGACGTCCTGGTAGAAGCAGGGCTTGAGTGGCAGGAACCTGGGCAGGGGCGGGAAGTTGTTCTCCTTCCCTGCAAAGAGAAGCCCAGGGTGACCATCCGCCCGGCTGGCTGCGCTGTGCCCTCAAGGCCAGCACCTGCTGCCTACTGCGGAAGGGCCCTGAGCTGGGGTCACCCAGGTCACCACAGGGTCCTCCTGAGAGGAGGCAGAAGGGCCAGAGTCAGAGGGCCTGGAGACGCTGTGCTGCTGGCCCCGGGCTGGCGGAGGGGGCCGAGCCAAGGGCTGTGGGCCTCAGGAGCCAGAGAAGGGGGACGGTGACTCCCTGGGCCTCACGAGGCCAGCCTGCGGCACCTGGGTGCAGCCAGGGGCCCGCGTCCTGTCCCGACCAGAACTCTAGTGGGGACCTCTCTCCCCCATGTCTCTGGCTGGAGGCGGACACGACTCCTCCGTGATGTCGGCTGATCTTCCTGTGGCGCCGAGGACGGAGCCGGCGTCTCCCACGTGCCGGGGGCACTCGGCGGGGGTGTCCCCACACCATGCCAACACAGACTATGCCTGGGAGGTCGCCTCCTCAGGCTTCTGTGACTTCAGACCGCTGGCATTCACCTCTCCGTCCCGGAGGCTGCAGTCCAAGGTCCAGGGATGGGCAGGGCCACCTCCCCGCACAGGCTCCAGAGAGGGCCCTTCCTGTCCCTGGGCTCTTGGGCATGTCACCTGTCCCACCTCACACAGCCGTCCTCCTGCGTCTGTCCCAATTCCCCTTTTTTCAGGGACCCAGTCACTGGACGAGGCCCACCTACACCAGTGTGACCTCACCTTCAGGGTCACCTGCACAGATCTGTTCCAACTGAGGCCCACAGCAGCCCCAGGGCCAGGCGGGCAGACCCTCTGGGCATGACTCACACATGGCAGGTGGGCGGGCAGCTGCACCCACAGGCCCCAGGCTTCCTCTCAGGAGGCACCCTGAGGGCCGAGAGGCGAGAGGCAGACCAGAGGAGGAGGCCTGGTCTCAGGGGCTCCCACGGGAGGCTGCTGCGGAGCTGTGGGCCCGCAGAGGCAAGAGGGCAAGTGCCACAGGGACCGGACCTCAGCGCTGCGGCCTGAGGAGAGCCGTGGACTCAGGGAGAGGGGCAGGCAGCAGGCACAGCCAGGGCAGAGGGCAGGAGGCGCGAGGCAGCCGCAGAGAGCCTGGCACCCTCCTCTTTCCAAGCCAGAGGACACAGAGTGGCCCAAGGCGTCCCAGGGCAGAGGGTCCAGAGAATTGACCCCAGGATATCAGGGTGGGGCTGGGGCGCATGTGAGAGCTGCTGGGGTCCCTTCTGCCGAGGGACACTTCCTGGGTACTCACCTGACATTTCTGCTCCGGATGGCCCGGCGGGGGCTAAATCCTGCAGCCACCTGAAAGGACACAGGAGGTCAGAGCCATCCCATGCCCAGCTGCAGGCCCAGGGCCGCCCAGAAAGGGGTGCCCACTGTCCTACGCTCCTGCCCGCAAGGCCAGTCCAGCTGGGATTCTGGCTCAGCAGGCGCCACTGGCCAGATGTGGGGTGCCAGTCACCACTTCCCTGGGTGCAGCTGGGCACCTGGAGGGGAAGGGCAGGGCTGCCCCCTCCACCCCCAGCCCCGGGGCACCCCGTCTCTCCCCACCAGCCCGCCACCTTCCTGCCTCCCCTTAGATGGCTCTAACCACCTCGGCCGCCCCCAGGACTGTCCAGGCTCGCTGCTGTGTGACCAGAGGCCACAGTGCTCCCTGTGGGCCTCACAAGGAGGACCCCATCCAACCCCAGGGGCACCCAGGCTCGCGTCACAGAACAGCCCTGACCCAGGCAGCCACCAGCTGGCACGACTGAGAGGGTCTGGCCAGCTCTCGCGCCTCGAGGAACAGGCCGTGGCCCACCAAGGAGGGGGCGGGCAGCGCCACGGCAGGAGCAGTCCAGGAATGGGCCTCCTGTGCTGCCCAGCCAAGTCCTCCATCCTGACCCCCCGCCTGGCACAGCAGCAGGGCCACCTCCAGCAGGGCCTGCACTGGCCCCTCCTCGGGACTCACCTCTGCTCTGGCCCAGCCCAGCTTGGCCCCTCCCTCCTGGAGGTCAGGGGGGCTCACGGCCAGCAGCAGGGTTCTGTCTGCTGCGCGGGGCCTCGGGCAGGGCTCCCTGCCTGCTCCCGAGGGCTGGGTCCTCCAGGACAGGCACGTCCTGGGTCAGGCAAGGCACGTTGCTGGACAGACCCCAACTTCAGCAGAGCCCACCCGCCCCGGGACACACGCCCTGGCCCTTGTGGGGTCCTCCTCACCACCCATGACATACAGTGAGTGGGACAGCCCAGGAGAGGCCTTCAGGCCAGCTGACCCTGACCTGGTCAGTGTTCAGACACTGCTAAAGACTTCCAGAGGCCAGAGAGGTGCCACCTGGGGCCTCCCCTGCCCTGGGAAACACGTCCCAGCCCCTGGATCACTAGGTAGAGGCCCTCCCTTCGAGGTCCCCGAGCCTGACGTGCAGACCTTGTCCAGTCCCACCTGGCCCCAGGCTCCCGCCCCGGCGGCCACACGGGTGCTCTAGGCAGGTAGCAGCTTGGTTCTGGGTAGTTTATTTGCAGACGTGAAAGCTGTTTCTGACACAACCACAGAGACGGTAAGAGCCACGCAGGCTCACAGACGACCCTCCCCGGCTCGCTCTAAGCCACCCAGCAACAAGCCCTGGCCCTGGGGCAGGGGCCGAGGCAGGCGGTAAGCATCCTTAGCACAGATAGGAGGGCGGCCGTGGAGGGGAGGCCCCTCAGTCTCCAATGTGGCCAAGACTGGGCAGGAGCAGAGAACCTTCCAGAAGCAGGAAGACACCGGGCCTAGGTGTCGGGGTCTAGGCAGCGACACTGGTCCTCGAGCACCCCGCGGAAGACCTGGAAGTGGTGGTTGAGGCCTGGCTGAGCGTGGATGCGGAAGCGTGTGCCCAGGGCACCGTCAGGCGAGGGTGCCCCGTAGAAGACCCGCTGGACGCGGGAGTGCACCAGGGCCATGGCGCACATCACACAGGGCTCACGGGTGACATAGAGGTCATAGCCGGTGCACACATAGGGCAGGCCGTCCTCGGCCTCAGCCTCCTCCAGCTTGCGCACGGCGCCTACCCGCACACACTGGGCTGCAGCTGGGACGAAGGAGCAGGCTGGGTGGTGCCTGAAGCTGCGGGTGCCCCGGCCCTGGCCCTGGGCCACCAGGTCCACACACACCATGACGGCATGCAGCAGGGGGCTGCCGGCACAGCTGCAGTCATGGCCCGTGGCCAGCACGTGGCCCGAGACCGGGTCCACCACGACGGCTCCCACAGCCCTCAAGCCTCGGGCTGCTGCCTGCTGGGCCACTAGCACGGCCCGCTCCATGTGGCTCTGCATCACTGCCCGCTCCTGGGCTGAGAAGAGCTGCCCGGCCAGGGCGCTGGTCACCTGCTTGTCCTCGTGGAAGGATATGGGCCAGTGGGCTTGAGCCTCTTCAAACTGGCCCCGGGTCAGGGGAGGCCAGGCAGGCACAGGCACCAGGAAGGGCTGTCCCAGTCCCTGGGGGTCCACAGCTGGCCTGGGTAGGAGCTCGGCCAGAGAGCAGGAGCCCGTGGCGGGTCCCACCAGGCAGAGCAGCATTTCCAGGGCGTGGGGGCCGTGGGCATCTCGGCTGCGCCGCACCCGCTTGAGGTGAGGGTGGGCGGGCAGTGGGTGGATGGCAGACACCTCCCTGAGGAGGCGTGAGGTCTGGCGCTGGTCGAGGATGGGCGCGGCATAGGCCAGCACCAGCTCCACGTCCCTGGACTGCTGCTCCGACAGGACCGGGAGCGCTTGCCACGGCGCTGGCTCCCTCGCGGGGCTCCTTGCCTTCTGACCACGCTGCTCAGTGAGGCCGGGCGCCGACTCCATCCCGCAGGCCGACTGTGGGAGAGACCGGAGCAGAGCATCATCCTCAAGGGTGGCGCCGGGCGAGCCGAGGAGGCCTCCTGAGAGGCGTGGGCTCCAGGGCTGAGCGGGCCCTCTGGAGGCTGTGGAGATCCAGCCCAGGTCAGGGCGTCACGTCGCGCACGCTCACGTCCCACCACCTCCCGGGCTACAGCGACAGGACGTGAAGCGGACAGCCAAGGGTACCCCGTCAGGGGCACCGTTCAGCGCTTGGGACACCGGAGCAGTGCTCGATCCATGGCAAGTCACTGCCCTGCCACACACACACACCCTAGGCAGCCACTAATCTGCCATCGGAGTCTGAAGAGTCAGAGGTCAGAAGCCTGAGCAGCCGACAGGTGGGGCCTTCAGGATGGAGGGTTCGCGTGCCAGGAACAGGTGCCCCAGGTCAGCCAGCCGGCTTCAGAGACCTCAGTCCCAGGCCAAGAATGGGATTCTGCCAAGAGTGTCAGGGCCGCCCTTCCCCAGCCAGCCTCCAGGTGAGCACGCAGCCCTGGCTGACCCCTGGACTCCGGCCTGGTCCAGGCTCCTGACCACAAGAGGAGGCTGGGAGATGAGCGTCACTGAACCTGCTGACTGTGGGACAGTCTCCTACGTGGTGGCAGAACCCTCCAGGGAGAGGGCAGAGCCCAGGGTCAGCAGGGAGCTTCTGCCTGTAGCCTGCCTGGGACGGGGCTGCCAGCCTGGCCCAGCGGGCTGCAGGAAGAAAGGCCCCGAGACCTGTGCCCAGACGAGCCCTCCTGCAATGGGTACAGGCTTCCCATGCTCTGACCACAGCCCTGCAGCCAGGTGGACACTGGCTTCAAAAGGGACCTGGTCCCAGGCTCCCCACCTCTTGCCGGGCCCAGCAGAAGCCCTGGAGGACGTGGGGCTGCGTGAGTCGGGCCAGGGAGGTGGGCCGACAGGGAGCTGGCCCACTGCTCCACCCTGACCCTCCCCTGGGCCTCTTGGGGTTCCTGGGCCACAGGATGCTGTGCCAAGGGCGTTCTCCTTTTTTTTTCTTTTGGGTCCTGAGGATTGAACTCGGGGCGCTTGACCACCGAGCCACATCCCAATCCTATTCTGTATTTTTAAATGTCTTTATTTTTTTTTTATACGATGCTGAGGATTGAACCCAGTCCTTACACGTGCCAGGCAAGCGCTCTGCCACTGAGCCACAGCTCCAGCCCCTCTATATTTTATTTACAGACAGGGCCTCACTGAGTTGCTGAGTGCCTCGACATTGCTGAGGCTGGCTTTGAACTCGTGATCCCCCTTCTTCAGTCTCCTGAGTCACTGGGACCACAGGGACAGCATATGCCACCGCGCCCGACTTTCTTTCTTTTTTTAATATTTATTTTTAGCTGTAGTTGGACACAACAACTTTATTTATTCATCTTTTGCGGTGCTGAGGATGGAACGCAGGGCCTCCCACGTGCTAGGTGAGCGCCCACCCCTGAGCCGCGGCCAGCCTGGCTTTCCTCCTTGACCACACACACCACACTTATTTTCGTGCTGCAGAGTGAACCCAGGGGCATCTTACCACTGGGCCACAGTCCAACATCCCCCCATTTTTTTTTTTAATTTAGAGACAAGGTCTTAGGGCCTCACTAAGTTGCTGAGGCTGGCTTTGAATATGAGATCCTTTTGCCTCAGCCTCCTAGTTGCTGGGATGACAGGCATGGCCACTGTGCCTGGCTTGTGCTTTCTTACAAAGCTTGACCTGCTGTCACCAGCATTTCCATTGCTGTCACCCCACAGTGCACAGCCTTAAAATGTGTCTGGGAGTAGCAGGGCTGGCCGGGGCCCTAGTTCCTGGCCCACAGTCTCTGGGGTCAGACAGCCAGGGCAGGGGAGGCAGTGCAGGGACAGCGAGCCTGCGACAGCCTCCTGGGACTCTGCACAGGGAACACGGGCAAGGCACTCTGGCTCCCAGACTTTAGCATGGGCCCAGCATGACACCTTGAAGCCACCAGCTTGCTGGGCCAGGTGCTCCTCCCCATGTCCCCAGGGCCAGGTCTTCCCTCAGCTAACTTGCCCCTAACAAAGGTGACCCAGCCTGGCACCGAGGCTCCCTCAAAACACACCCAAGGGTCTTGGCCTGACTCCAGGGAGGCAGGACCTGGAACAGAGGTGCCCATGACGCAGGCCAGCTCATGGCCACACAGCCGCCCTGTGCTCAGCAGGGCACAGCCCATAAGGCAGGCCGCGGCCACATCCTCAGAAGGGTGGCAGCAGGGTCGGGGACTTGGGCTGCCGGGGCTGCCCACCCTCCCTGACCAGAGGGGACCTTGGTTCTTGACTGCCTATGCAACAGGGGTCCTCCCAGCAAATCATGTCTAGGGTGGTCTTGGGACCCTGAAACACAGGCTGTCCGTGTGACAGCAGCAGTGCCCAAGCCAGGTATGGTGCCCGTGTCTGCAGTCCCACCTAGTAGGGGGCTGAGCGGGAGGAGGGCTTGAGCTAAGGAGGGTAACACAGCCAGACGCCATCTCAAAACGTAAGATGGAAACACTGCCCCAGATCATGCCCAAAAGCCCGAGAGGCACAGGGACTGAGATACTTCCATGCCTGGGCTTCGGACTGGGACAGTGGTCAGACACCGAGATGGAGGTGCGGTGTCACCGTGGCCCAGAGAGGAAGGGCTGGCCAAGAGCACCCAGGAAGTGAACCCGCAGAAGGGAACCCTGAGCTGTCCTCCAGGACCCAGTGGCCGTACCCCTGAGCCCACAGTGGACTTCAGACACTTGATCTGAAAGGAAGAAAATAAACATTCTTGTTAACTGTTTCCATGTATCAGTCACACGTTTAAATAACAACGCTTTGCATGTCTTCTGTTAAATAGCGCATACCATTAGCTGGCCAGGCCTTCAACGCCACGCCTGTCATCCCAGTGACTCCAGAGGCTGAGGCAGGAGGATCACAGTTTGAGGGCACCCTGAGCAACTTAGTGAGACCCTGCCTCAAAATAAAAAGTAAAAAAAGGACTGGGAATGTGGCTCGGTGGTAAAGCACCCCTACCTAGGTTCAGTGCCAGTAATACGAGGGGAAAAAAGCATACTGTGAAGATGAGTTTAAACCCTTTCTGTTTTACATTTTTTTAAATATATATTTTTTAATTGTTGATGGGCTTCTATTTTATTCATTTATTTGTCTGCAGTGCTTAGGATGCAACTCAGTGCCTCTCCTGTGCCAGGCAAGTGCTCTACCACTGAGCTCCAGCCCAGCCCTTGTTTTACTTTTTTAAAACGTGGCTTCTAAAAAACCTGGCTTGTGTGCTGGGGTGTTTCTTCGGTGGTAGGTGCTCTCCCGGGCATGCACAGGCCTGGCCTGGCCGCCGCACAAGGGAAAATGCCACCAACTTCACGTCACCTGTGTGCTCGTCTTGTTCCTGGAAGAGGGGCCTCAGCAGACATGAGGGATGTGCACAGACAGTGGTAAAATGACTCTGGATTGTCTCAAACACACTTGCCCAGACTCCACGGCCCTGCTAGTGCCTTGGCGGGCCCCACCCCACCATCGCTGAGAGCGGTCGGTCATCAGTCCAGACAGGCTGCCTGGCTCCCACCTCAGTGGCCAGGAGTCCTGGGTGGCAGACTCCAGCATCAGCAGTCACCTTGCAGGGCACACTGGGCCTGCCTTTGTTTTTTTAACTACTGGGGTTAAACCCAGGGGTGTTCCACCACTGAGCCACATCCTGGCCCTTTCCATTTTATTTATTGCTTTTAGTTGTACATGTACACAACACCTTTATTTTACTTAAATTTATGTGGTGCTGAGGATGGAATCCAGGGCCTCACATGTGCTAGGAAAGGGCTCCACCACGGAGCCACACACACTCCCAGGTCCCTTTGGCATTTTTGAGATGGGGTCTTGCTAAGTTGCTGAGGCTGGCCTTGAAATTGTGATCCTCCTGCCTCAGCCTCCCAAGTCGCTGTGATGACAGACCTGCACCTGGGCCCCAGCCCATGCTGAGGCCTTCTGATGTGAACAGCTGGTCCTGCGCTCTGCAGAGGTGCTAGTAGGAGCAGGAGACAGGAAACTGGGAGTGGTTCCTGCTGCGACCTGAGGCCCCAAGCCAGGCAGCACCCACAGAAGGTTCACAGCAGCCATATGGATCCTAATTCTGTGGCCCAAACAGACTGCCTAGGCCACAAAAGGTCCACTGTCTCCAGGGAAGAAGACAAACACAGCCTCATCTGTCCTCAAGACTACAACCTCTGTCTGACAATACAAAGCAGGCCACACAAGGCCACAGCCACAGGGCCACACAGGCCCAGCTCCAGGGAGGGCAGCCACAGACCACGGGCAGGGCCCCTCTACACTTCCTGCTGCATTGCCCCTCGCGGCTGGCTGACAGCAGCCCAGGGCTGGGGCATGCTGGCTCCAAAGCAAGACAGCTCCTTCCTCACCAGCCCCAGGCTGCAGGGAACCAGGAACTGGGACCCCTCAGCAGATGAGGACACTAGCCATTTCTTGGGGCCTCTGTCTCTCCTCTCACAACACCAAGCCTAGGCGGGCAACAGGTCCAGCAGGAGAGGACAATCAGGCCCCATCTGGTCTGGCTCTATGGAGAGATGGCAACGCTTCTTGGGGTGAGTGCGCATGGTGAACCCCAGAAAGTCCTAGGCTGAGAGGCCTTGCCCTACCTCCAGATGAGGAAGGAGTCAGAGCCTGGGCCCAGCCTGTTAGGCCAGGAGACCTCCACCACCAGCACTAACCCCTCAAGCTCGGCTCCTATCCCCGTGAAATCGGCATCCAGTCACTGTTGGGCAGGGGATCAGGAGCAGACAGTAGACCCAGCACTGTCCTGGGACACAAAGACAACCAGAAAGGAACCCCACAGAGGGGCAAGTGGCATGACCACCTCAAGAGGGATCCAGGAGGGCGCAGCAGGGGCCCACGCCTGGAGGACAGGCACAGCAGCTGAGGGGATCCCTGAAAATCCACATTTCCAGTAACAGCGGTGATGTCAATTCCCAGGATGTATAAAAAGACTGAGGTGGGCCGGACGTGGTGGCCATGTCTGGGATCCAGCAAATCGGGAGGCTGAGGCAGGGGAATTGCTTGTTCGAGGCCAGCCTCAGCAACTCAGAGAGACCCTGTCTCAAAATAAAAAAGTGAGGCTGGGCTGGGGCTCAGAGGTAGAGCACTCGCCTAGCATGGGTGAGCCACTGGGTTCCAGTCTCAGCACCCCGCATATAATTAAATGTCCGTCCACAAAGTCGAGATAGGGAGGGGCACCAGAGGGCTGGAAGTAGGTAAACAGCCCAGGGGCAGGGGACTGGCTGTGCTGACCCTCGGTTGGCAGCACCGGAAACAGCTGGGACGCACTGGGTCTCTAGAACCGGTAGAGGTGCACGCGCAAGCGCACAAAGGCAACGGGTCTTGGGTGGGGGCTTCCGACCCTGCGCGCACGCGTACTTGTGTGGCTTGCTCGCACCCCACGCAGGCGCACGCCCACACGCCCACCCGCCCGCCCGAGACGTGCGCAAGCTGGACGGGCCCACGCTCTCATCCGCCATACGGCCGCCCACCGCCCAGATCCCCGCCGCCGCGCCTGTTCCCCCTCCGTGGGAACCTGGGCCGGGAAAACTCGAGTCCTCGGACCGCTGCTCACCTAAAGGAGACCGCGCGAGCGCTGGGCTTCGCCAAGTCCTAGCAACCGGCTGGCTCCGCCCTGAGCGCGGAGCACGACGGGACCGTAGTTCCGGGGGCGGGGCCTGCGCGAGGCCGAGGTGGGGCTGGGACCACAGCCCCCAGAAGGCCACGCGCGCGGCGCTGGCTCCGCCCTGCCCGGCGTGGCGCCCCCGCGACGAGCGGAGGCGGCGATGCGGGCGGTCGCGGAGGTGCGCGTCCCCGCCCGCCCGGTGGCCCGCGGAAACGCGCTCCCTGCCGGAGCCTCTTTGGGAAACCATCGGAGGGGGGCGACTGAGGCGGGGAGACGCGACAGCTGTCTGCAGGCGTCCCGAGACCCGGGGCCTGGGCACCTGCGGGGCGCCAGCTTGCTTGTGCCCTTCGCTGCGTCGGGGTGACCGCGGCCGGCACTCTCGGGGCTCAGTTTCCCCCTGTGTACAGTGGGCGACGGCGACCTCCGGGCTAGAAGGCACGTTCCGTGAGCACTTCCGGGACTCGGTCATGGGGCCGGCCTAGCGCGGGGAGGGTGAGTTGTCACCCCGCACACACACACCTGGCGGCGCCCGGGACGGGGCTGTCTCGGATTGGGGCGCAGCTCAAGGCGTGGGGGGGCCGGGACGCCTCCCGTGCCCCGGGCGGAGGTGGCGGCGGGCGCGTCCCCGCGGATCCGGGAGGGTGAACCCGGCTCTAGGACCCGCTCAGGGCAGGGCGGGGCGTGGCGGTCAGCGCGGCCCCCTTGCCCGCGCCCTCGTCCCGGCCGTCTCGCACCGGGAGCTGTTGCTTTCGGCCAACGTCCTTAGGGCTTTAAAATAAAAACTCCAGCGAGCTCTGCTGGCTCTGTTTTCACCGAACTGCACTTCATCCCGCAGGTCCCACCGCTGCTAGCTGAAAGCCCCTAAGTACAGCCTTTAATTGATAAGCCACTGAAAGCCAGCCTAGATCTTCTGTCTATAAAATGAATATTGAAGCTGGGAGTGTGACTCAGGTGGAGCGCTCGCCTGGCATGTTCCAGGCCCTGGGTTCCAACCCTGGGTTCCTCAGAGGACGAGAGGATGTAAACAGGTAGCTCTGTAAGAGGTAACGTGCCGTTGCTATGGAATGATTGGTAGTTACTCCAGTGTTGGTCACAAGCTGGGCTCTGAGGCTGAGGCAAGAGGACCACAAGCTTGAGGCCAGCCTCAGCCACTTAGCAAGACCCTGTCTCAAAATAATAAAAGGGCTGGGATACAGCTCAGTGGTAAAGTGTCCTTAGGTTCAATCCCCACCACTAAAAGAACAACAAAATCCCACAAACAAGCTGGGCTAGGTAGCGCATTCCTGTTATCCCAGCAGCTCTGGAGGCTGAGGTAGGAGGATCACAAGTTCAAAGCCAGCCTCAGCAACAGCGAGGTGCTGAGCAACTCAGTGAGACCCTGTCTCAATACAAAATAGGGCTGGGGATGTGGCTCAGTGTCCAGAGTTCAATCCCTAGTGTCTAGGACTTCGGGGATGCTGGGTAGGGGACCAGTCTGTGGTAAATGCATGCTGCCTTGCTGTGCAGCAGAGGCCTCTCTAGAGCTGGGAGTTGCTCTGAGCAACTCTCTTCTGCTTGCCTTCCTTCCCTCCCTCCTTCCTTCCTTCCTTCCTTCCTTCCTTCCTTCCTTCACTGAGGATTGAACATAGGGATGTCCTACCACTGAGCTACATGTTATACCCACAGTCAGGTTTTGGTGTTTTGCTTTTGTACCAGGGACTGAACCCATGGGGAGCTTAACCACTGAGCCACATCCCTAGCCCTTTTTGGTTTTTTGTTTAGAGATAGGGTCTCGCTAAGTTGCTGAGGCTGGCTCTGAACTCGCCATCTCCTGCTTCAGCCTCCCAGCTGAGGGGATTACAGGTGTGCACCACCATGCCAGGCTCATTTTTATTTTTTTGAGACAGGGTCTGACTGAGCTGTAGAGCCTGGCCTCAAACCTGCAATCCTCCTGCCCCAGCCTCCAGAGTTGCTAGGATGACAGACCAGCACCAGTGCTCCTGGCTCTCTACTCTTTAGTAATTACAATTTCCTTTTAAGTATAAATTTCCTTCATTAAAGGGGAGATTTGTGTTTTATTTTAAGCAGATGAAAGGGAATGGAAGCATTTTTTTCAGTGTTGGCTGCTTCTCAGTTTCTTTTTGCTCAAAATAATCAACATACCTAGAGGCAGGAGGAGGGGTGGCCTGTTCTGACTTCCTTCACCTTCTTTTTCATCAGTTTTGTTTGTTTTTTCCTCTCCTAAGCAAATTTCAGTCGTGATTTCAAAGCCCAACTGGGATAGAATCCCTTCTTTATTAACATTGTTCATCTTACAGAATCTTTAAAAAGTATCATAATTTTTAAGACACACACTAGGTGTGTGCTAAGTTTCTGTTACTGTAACCAGTACCCAAGATGATAAGGTCAAGATGGGCACAGTCTGCACACCTGCAAGCCCAGCAACCTGGGAGGCTGACACAGGAGGACCACAAGCTCAAGGCCAGCCTCAGCAACATAGCAAGGTCCTGTCTCAAAATGAAAAGAAACAAAGGTCGGGGTGCAGCTCAGTGGAATGTGGGGACAGGTGCATGGAGTACTGCAGACATGGCCTACCTTAAGGGTGCTTGGAGTGAGGGGCAAACCGCTTACTCCTTAGGCACAGCCCTGGGCGTGAGGCACATGTTGCAGTCCCTGCGCCTGTTCCGTGGCCCACTGGATTGGTCACTGCAAGGACAATTGCAGACGTTGCATTGGTGGCTGCTGTACTCTGCCTCGCTGCTGCCTGAGTGTACATATGTTGTAACTGTGCAATAAAATCAGACCTGCATCCTGCTTGGTCTCCGGAGGCCTTGATTAGCGACTCCGCAGCCACACAGTACCCTGTTCCGAGGACTCCTCGTTGGATGAGAGAGAGCCCACACAGCGTAGAGCACCTCTGGGTTCATTCCCCAGCACCAAAATAATAAAAAAGAAAGGTGTATGTGTTGGTCAGCTTTCTATGACTGTGACAAGGACAGTCTCAAAGGCCCCCGTGTGGGGCAGCTGGTGGTGTGCTGTGCCTGTGGGAGGCAGACTCACGGCAGGGGGGCAAGGAGTCCAGCTGAGCTCCCACTATCCCTGCAAGGGCACGCCCAGAGGAAGAGGACCCACCTTCCTCCCACCAGGCCCCAGCTCCTGAGTGTCCACCACCTCACAAGGGTGCCCAGGCTAGGGACCAGGCCTTCGACACAAGGGGACTTCCAGGTCCACATTATAGCAACAGGTTAGAGTTCAGTGCCAAAAGGCTACAGCGTCCAGACTCTCCTCAGCTTCAGGCTTGGTGACAGCAGCAGTCAGTCACCAGCCCAGGTCAGCAGCTGCTGGGCTGGGAGGAGCCTTGAAGTCCCTGGTCCCACAGGCCAGGCCTCAAGGGTGTGTCCCAGGGAGGGAGGGAGGGGGGCGGACTGCACCTATGCCTGTCTCGGGGTGAGGGCTGCATTTGTCTGGCTGCTCATCCCGCTGACTTCCTGAATCTTTGATTGGCATCTTTAGGGCCCAGGTGTTTCTCACTTGTGCTGAGCCTCAGATCAGGGTCTTCCTGGTATGGGGTTTTGGGGGCTCCCTTAAGCTGATGTCTACTGGAACCAGGGAGAGGAAGGTTGCCGTCTTCTCTGTGTCTGAGGGCAGAGGACATGGCTGCCCTGGGAAGGTGTCAGCAGACTGCCCACCTAGGTCTCCCTTGGCAGCCACCTGTCACCTCCTGCAGAATGGAAAGCACACAAGTGTCACAAAGCTCCAAAACTGCACCTTTCTGTCCACAGACCCCCAACCCCTCATTGGCCCACAGTAGTAACCCACCGTTGTCTATCTGTCCAGGTCCCAGAGCCGAGGCAAACAGCACAACTAACAGAGGCTGGGGATTGAGCTCGGCGGCACTGGGCCACTGAGCCACACCCCAGCCCTATTTTGTATTTTACTTAGAGACAGGGTTCCGCTGAGTTGCTTAGCGTCCCACTTTTACTGAGGCTGGCTTTGAACTCGTGATCCTCCTGTCTCAGCCTCCCGAGCCCCTGGGATGACAGGCCTGCGCCACTGTGCCTGGCTTATTTTTTTATTTTTAGAGAGGGTCCCACCAACAAGCCTGGCCGTGAACTTGTGGTTCTTCTGCCTCAGCCTGCAGAGTAGCTGGGGTGACAGGGCCGCACCACTGCGCCTGGCCATGATCCCCATTTTAAAATGAGGATGCAGCTCAGTGGTAGTGTGCATGCTCAGCAAGGGTCAGGCCCTTGGTTCAATCCTCAGCATCAAAAAGAGAGTCAGGATCAGTGGTCAAACCTGTGATCCCAGATACTCTGGAGCTGATGCTAGAGGACTGCCGTTTAAGAACACCCTTGGTAACTTAGATTCTGTCTCAAAATAAATAAAAAAATAAAAGGAGGTGGGGATGTATCTCAGTGGTGGAATGAATAAGGTTCAATTCCCAGTACCACAAATTAAATAAGTGTAATACAAACGACAGGGAGCCAGGTGTGGTGGACCCGCCTGTAATCCCAGGGGCTCCAGAGGCCGAGGCAGGAGGATCATGAGTTCAAAGCCAGCCTCAGCAACACTGAGGCCCTAAACAACTCAGTGAGACCCTGTCTCTAAGTAAAATTCAAAATAGATCTGGGGGTGAGGAAAGAGATGAAACAGACACTCTGTCACTACCCTGCCCCCTGGGCTGTGCCCACTGCCTTTTGGCTTCTTCCAGGGCTTGGTTTACTGCATGGGTCTGCCCTCCACACACCAGGACTGAGGCCCCAGGGCAGGACTGGCACCCTGCAGCTGTCCAGTGTGTTGGGACCAGCCACAGCCAGGACCTGCCCAGCCAGCACTCGTCCTGTGGCTACAGCCTGGGAAAAGTGTCCTCCTGCCTTGGGGCAGAAGCCTCCGTTGGCCTCTCTGTAGCTGGACCAGTGGGTCGCTGGTGCTGGTAGCCAGTGCTGTCTCTGTCTTCTGGCCCGTCCCTAGTTCGACTGTACTTATGCAGAACGTCAGTGTCCACTGTGCCACTTACTCTTACCTGGACAAGGTTACTGTTTCAATTTGGCAAGACACATGGGGTAATGCATGTGTCCCCAGGGCCTGCACCAGATGGAGCCCCCACCCTCTGGGGATCAGGTGGGCACTGTTGCCACCTGCAGTCCCAAAGGCTACCTCACCCTGTTCAGAGCCCCAGGCTGGACAGAGAAGCAGATGTGACTGCTTAGGTGTCCTTCCTAGACCAGGCACAGCCACCGCACCAAGGAAGGGTCCTGTTCTGCTGTCATTATGCCAGGGTCAAAGGTCCTGCACTCATCATGCGATCTCAAGTTACTTCCCTGCTCACACTGGACACCAGAGTCCACTCCCCCTGGGGCCCAGGGATAAACCAGGAGCTCCAGCCTCTGGGCCTGACCTCCTCTCCCCTCCCCACTCAGCTTGTGAGCTTTGGTAAGAGCAGTGCCTTGGGCTTCAGGAGGATAGATGCTCATGGGGCTCAGGGTGTCCCTGCAATTTCTTAACCTAGGAGCTCACCCTAGGAAATTCTGCCCGGGGACCCTGGGTCATATCTGGGAACATGTGGTTGTCCCTACTGAGGATGCTCCTGGCCTGGAGGTCAGGGACATTGCTCAGCTCCTGCAGGGCCCAGGACACCACCAGAGAAGGACCCACACGTCCATGGTGTGAACGCAAGCCCCCCATAGGCCAGCAGGGAGCAGCATGGACCTGGATGTGTGTCTACTGCCTCCCTCCTGCAGTGCGGGCCAAAGGCTCCTGTGTGCGGGTACACATTTCACCACGCGCTGCAGCCCGCCCTTTTTATTTTTTCTTTTGAGACAGTTGCCCAGGCTGGCCTCGAATTTGAAATCCTCCTGCCTCAGCCTCCTGAGCCTCTGGGATGACTAGCGTGGCCACCATAGCTTCTGTGCTTGCAGGTGTTGATTCCAGCTGCCCCAGGGTGATGTGGTATCTCACAGAGTTTAGATCTGCATCTCCTAGATGTTGGGAGTGCACTCAGAACAGTGTCCTCAACACAGAAGGGCCTCTCCCAGTACCACACAAGGCTGGCGGGAGTGCAAAATGGTACAGCCACTTCAGAAAGCCATTTGGCCCTTTAGCTGACTGGGACTGAGTTGTGCTACCCTTGTCACAAAGTTCATAAATTGAAACCCTGACCAGGCATGGTGGCACACACCTGTAATTCCAGTGACTCAGGTGCCTGAGGCAGGAGGATTGCAAGTTCAAGGCCAGCCTCAGTAATGCAGAGACCCAAAGCAAATTGGTGAGATCCTGTCTCAAAATAGTAAATAAAAAGGGCGGGGGCTGCAGCTAAGTGGTTACGCACCCCTGGGTTCAGTCCCACAGGACCTCATACACCCCTCCTGGACCTGTTACTCTCAGCCTCACAGCTCCTGGGCTGGTCCCCGGAGCTGGGACGAGAGTTTTCTTTCGTTTTTTCCTTTTAGTACTGGGGATTGAACCCAGGGCACTTTACCCCTGAGCTGCATCCCCAGCCCCTTTTACTTTTTATTTTGAGGTAGGGTCTCATTAAGTTGCCGAGGCTGGCCTTGAACTTGCACTCCTCCTGCCTCAGCCTTCTGAGATGCAGGGCTCCACAGGCACACCCAGCCACTTTGATGCTTTAAACATCACTCATGGCTGCCCACATGAGGGAAGGTCCAGAGGAGAGCCGCACCTGAGTGGCCAGATTCAGCAAGCCTGAACAGGTGGCATGGTCCAAGCCTCAGCAGCACCAACAGGAAGGAGGAGGAGTCACTGCTTCTGCCCCTGCCTGTTGGCTTAAACAGAGACCTGCCTCACCCCTCCATCTTCGGGCCCTGCGGCTGGGATTCCCCCCACAGGCTCCCCTGGGCCTGCCTCTGGCCTACCGAACAGGGTGGGACTCCAGCTTCCGTAACTGCACGAGCCAGTCCCTTATGATAAATCTCTGCAGATCTCACACCTGTGGATTCAACCAAACCTCTGTCAAGAATGTTCTAGACCAGGGTGGGCATGGCGGAGCACACCCGTGGTCCCAGCTACTCAGAAGGCTGAGGCAGGAGAATAGCAAGTTCAAGACCAGCCTGGGCAACTTAGTGAGACCCTGTCTCAAAATTTAAAAAAAAGAAAAAAAGAAATCTAGCCAGGCATGGGGCCACATGTCTGCAATCCCAGTGATTCAGGAGGCTGAAACAGGAGGATCAAAAGGTCAAGGCCAGCCTCAGCAACTTTTTGAGACCCTATCTCAAACAATAAGGGGACTGAGGATCTGGCTCAGTGGTTGCGCACCCCCGGGTTAGAGTACTGGAAACAACATCTAACAGCCAGCTGCATTTCCCTCCAACGGCACGGCACGTAGAGAAGCTGCGCAGGTGTTTGCCTGGTGCCAGGATCACGTGATCCAGAGGCGACTTGCCAACGTAGCAGGGCTGCGGTGTGCCACGCTAATGCCACCCTACTTGGTGCAGCAGTGGTCCTGCCAACGTACGATGTCAAAGCAGAGGAGCGCAGCCCATGCCTCGTGGCTGGAAGAACCGACTGCGCTGCAGGTAACGCAGAGTGTGGCGCTCAGGCCCCACAGGCACGATGCTGGCTCAGGGTCCTGGGGACGCATGGCCGCGAGGCTGCCTCTGTGTTGGCTACATCATACTTCTAATTAGAATGTGCTTTTTTTTTGGTCAGGTGGCCTGTGCTGTCCACCCTGCTGCTGCTTCTCTGGAGGCTCTGCCCAGGGCAGGTTCCCAGGATGCCCCTTTCTGCAACCCCTTCTTTGCTTCGGAACCTAATTCCCAGGTTGGAACAAGTGGGGGGCCAGGGGGCCTGGTCGGGCTGTATAGAGGGGTGAGGGGCCGTATCCAGGAGGGGGCCTGGGAGTCCTCTGCCTCTCACCCTGGCGCTGGCTCCTGGTGGTCTCCAGCCCAGCCCCATCTCTGAGCAGCTCGGTCGGCCTGCTGTTTTAAGACACCCCCCACTTCCTTCCTTCAGGGCCTGCAGCGGCTTCCTGTGTGCGTCTTACTCTCTCCTCATGAAATGGGCTAGGCCTCGCCGCGCTGTGACCTAAGCTCCTTACGCTAGATTGTCTTCCAGGAAAAGACCTTTCAGAACTTGGAACGGCTTTTCAGGAATGTGCCTGTCCTCGGAGAGACCTAAACAGAAGCCAGGCCACCCAGTCCAGGATGTCGGGAGCTCACAGTCCTCTGCTTAGAACATGTCTATCCAGAAAAGCAGCAGACCTAGGTGTCCCGGGCATCTGAACACCAGGGTCACCTTCCCTTCCTAAGAAGCCCCTGCCGTCAATCAGGAGGAGCAGCCTGGAGCTGGGGGCCTTGGCCTCCCGTCTCCGCCCCCGAAAGCCTTTCACCCTGCAGACACCGGTGTCCTAGGTGCTGGCTTCCGTGGGCACTGGCAGTGAGCTCCTCCTCACGGGTGTCCCTCCACCCATGCCCACGTCCTTCCCTACCAGGACTGGCTCCGTCATAATTTATAGGCCCCAATTCAAAATGAAAACATGGGGTCTGTGGTTCAAAAATCATTAAGAATTCCAAGAAGGGGACCACAGAGCATCCAGCCCTGCTGAGCAGGGGCCCTTCTGAGAGGGGCCCGGGGCGACCCTCAGATCCCAGGCCAGGGAAAAAAAAGTCCGTCTTTCCCCAAGCCCTCCCCCACCTCAGTGATTTGGGAAACACTTATTTATCAATTCTACTGTGTTAAAATAGAGGTGATATAAAAGGCACTGACTCACCCGTGCGCTGCTCGGGGCAGGAAGCACTCAGAGCTGTGCGCCATTCCCACCGTGGTCTCCAGAACGCCCTCCTCTCCCTACACTGAGCTCCTGTCCCCTCCCAGCCAGGGCTCCACCGTGCTGCTTCCCATCTCTGTGGATCTGAGCATTCCAGGGACCTAATGTGGGTGGACCCTGTGTCCTTCTGGGTCTGCTGCACGTCACTGTACACCGTGTCCCCAAGCCTGTCTGTACTGTGGTGGGGCTCCTCTTCTAGGCTGAGTGATACTCCAGTAAGTGGATGGGCCTCCTGTGCTGTACATTCATGCCTGTGGGGACACACGGGTGAGGCATCCTGCTGTGTGCTCACAGTGCTCACCTGGGCGCCTGAGCGTCTGTCACAGTCCCTCCGTCCTTTAGGGTGCACCCTGATAAGCATGCTCATTAACTGAGGGTTGCTCCACCACTGAACTATAACCCTAGTCCCTTTATTTTTTAAATTTTGAGACAGTCTCCCTAAGTTGTTGAGGCTGGTCCTGAACTTGCCATCCTCCTACCTCAGCCTCCCAAGTCACTGATTTACAGGTGTTAGCCATCAGGCCCCGGCATAAACATTATTATTTTTTTTTAACTTCTTTTTCGTTTGGGTCTTGTGGTGCTGGCATTCAAACCCAGGACCTTGTGCGTGCTAGGCAAGCACTCTGCCACTGAGCCACACCCCCAGTTCCAAATATTGATATTTTTAAAATGTTTATTTTTTAGTTGTAGGTGGACACAACATCCTCATTTCATTTTCATGTGCTGCTCAGGCGTGCTAGGCAAGTGTTTTACGACTGAGCCACAACCCCAGCGCCCCCAAATATTAGTTTTTAAGAGAAAACCTTCTCTTAGTCATCTAGTTGGTTTTCAGCTCCCGGCTTTTCATCACCACTGAAACGCAGAGCAAAACCAAAATATCTCAGCAACCACATCAGATCATGAGGAATGACCAAAGACCACCTGTACCCTTGTCCCCCGGCATCCCCTGGCTGGGTCTCACTGTGGTGGGGTTCAGACAAGAGGTAGTTATTTCCTGGCAGCTGCGTGGACGCTCCCATGAGGACCTCCCATCCAGCACCCGTCCCCACAGGTACTGCCCATTCAGGGGAAACATCTCCTGTGCCCTGTTTAGTTCCAGCCAAAGCCAGAACCGGGTTACAGGCAGCTCAGTGGTGGACACTTCTGAGTGTGTGCTGCTCTAATTCCATCTTCAGCACAGGGAAAAAAAAAAGAAGAAAAGCTAGAAACAACCCACGTGTCCATTAAGAGGGCAGCAGGTCTTCAAGCTGCAGGCTCCTGTGGCACCACGGGAGGATCCTGAGGCCACTGAGGCAGAGAAGATGGTGAGCTGTAGTTTGTCAAACGCTCCCCTTTATGTAACAAATAAAAGCGCAGGGGGTGGGGCTCTTCTCACGGGCTCTCCGGTGCAGAAAGCACATGGATTTCTCAGCTTGGAGATGGGCCAGCTGGGAAACCTGTTGTTCTGCAGAGGGGTCATAGGCCTCAGTGGTGAGAGGACTGAAAGAGACTTCTAACGGACAGAGTTTGGAAATTCTTGTTTTTTCTTATTAGGCACTGGACCGAGAGCCTCCTGCGTGCCTGGTGGGTGCTCTAGCACTGAGGCTCACCCATTGTCTGCAGACTTTTTGATTTTGAACCATGTGTATTAGCCAGGGCTTTCCAGAGAAGCGAAAGTGCAGATATTTAGAGATATTTGGAAGACATTCATCATGGGAATTGGCCGCCCTCTGCCCACTGCAGGCTGGAAACCAGGAGAGCTGGTGCTACAACCCAAAGACCAAGACCTGGTTTGACCAGGAGACCCGAGGCCCAGGAGCAGCCATGTCCCAGAGCAGGAGATGGAAGTCCCAGCTCCAACAGAGAAAGAGAGGCCTTAGTTCACCATTCCTTTACATCTCTGTTCTTCCCCATCCCTCAGGGATCGCATGCTTTCCATACCCATCTCAGTGCACTGATCTGGTTGCTCATCTCTTTCAGAAACACCTTCAGAGACTTTGTTAATGTCCCGTCTTTGGGACAAAACACCTAGATACATCAACCTAAGTGGAGGAAAGGCTCATTGTAGCTCACAGTGTCAGTTTTTTTTGTTATAGGTTTACAGTTGGTGCTTTGACTATATCCCTCATTGCCTTGAAATTTACATGTTTTTTCCTTTTTCCCAACCTCCTTCTCCCTGATCTTCTTCTCCCTAACCCTCTCCTCCCTCATCTCATTTTCTCTGGGTCACCTCTGTAACACCCCGCTCCTTTCCTGCTGAGGGGCAGAATCACAGCCTCTGGGACAGGAATCCCCTGGGTTTCTCCTTTGCTAGCAAAGCCATAGACCTTTTTTCCTTTTTCTCAAAACTGTGTCTCGTTACTGGATTGTCATCAGGGACAAGGATGGAGCTTTTGGCCACAGCTGCTGCTTGGAGCCATTGCTCTGTGCCTGTGGCAGGTCAGGAAGCCATGTCGTGGCAGGAGCGCATGGCACAGACCTGTTGGCCTCATGGTGGGGAGGGAAAAGGGCTGGGTCCCTGTATCCCCTCAAGGGCACACCCCCAATGATCCAACTCCCTCCCATCTGGCCCCACCCCCTACAGATGTCACCACCTCGGGACAGTGCCACAGGCTGGACACCAGGCCTTCTACATGTGTCCCTCAGGGCTTTCCCGACCCAAGCTTCAGCCCAGAGCATTTTTAAGACCCTTGATTCTTATGGCCAAGTTATCTCCCAAATAGGTTGAATGTCTCAGAACAGAGGGAAATCAGGGGTCTCCACAACCTGAGGTCTGCGTGCCCCCACCCCACACAAAGCCTCCTGGATCATTCTTTCACTCTGTTAGGCCCTTTCTGGGGTTGGAAGTTATTCTCATCCCTCATGATAATTCATCCATTGACTTATCAGGCAGCACAGGGATAACTGGGAACCCAGGGGTGACGGATGCCAGGGTTCCTGCCCTGGGAGCTCATGGTCTGAGGAAGACTCAGAAAAACTGGATAATAAACAAGAGAACAACTGAATAAAAGGATCAGAGTGGCAAGGACCACGATGTCAGTGACAGGCATCAGCACAATCAGGGAGGCTCTCTGGGGAGGTGACTTTTCGTGGAACTCTGGGGATAAGTAGGTCTGTGTGGCTCTAGGGGGAAAGGGCACCTCAGGAAGGAGGCTCCTCAGCCCCTGTGAATGTCCCTGAGATAGGAGCAAACCTGGCAAGGTCAGGATGCCTGGGACAGTGTGAGCAAGGCCCCGGATGGGCTGGGCCAGGCTTGGTCTGGGGTGGGGGTGGTGGAAAGAAAGGGTACTGACCCTCTGAAAGGTTTCAGGTTTACAGCAGTGGCTTTACCTTTTACAAAGTGCCTGGGGTGGGTGGGTGGGAGGAGTCTGTGATGGGAGGGGCAACCCATGCTAGGTAGGGAATTGAGCCTCAGGACCACCTAGTAGGCTCGTCCCCTTCACAGGAGTCTCTGTGTGTGTCTTGTGGCCAAAAGAGTGGATCTGTGCTTTTTGGTGCTCCATCCTCGCCCCTGCCAGCTCTAAAACACTTCATCTGAGGGCACAGCTCAGCAGCGGAGCACGTGCAAGTCCCTGGGTTCAACTGTGCATATATACACATACATATAAGTACATATACCCATAGATAAATATATGTACATATAGAGACATATTTGTTTTTCAGTACTGAGGATTTAACCCAGGGCCTCCCACGTGGTAGGGAAGGAGGAGGAGGAGGAGGAGGGAAGAAAACAAGCGAATGAATGACATGGGAGCTCAGGCCCCGCCCCAGGGCCACAAGCACCGCCCATGGCTCCACCCCAAATTTCGGCC